GGGGGGGGGGGGGAAGAACTAATTTCATTTCTTCTTTCCCAGCCTATATTTCTTTCCTCTAGAGAGATTCACATTTATAAGATTACTGTCAACAAATGGGGACCAAGGTTGGTTCTGCAGGAAAGCACTTTGAAAATCTGCCTTTTAATGTACTTGCTTTGTGTCTCCATAGTGCTTTCATTGCTATGTTTGTCATGGAGCTTATATTTCCTGTACTGTACCCACGCTATAGCATTGATTTCGGTCATTGCATCATCAGCCCTGTTCGTGCACCATAAGCTGGTGTTTTAGCAACTCTGTAGATTTTCAGCTACAGTACTGCTGTAATCGGGTTCAGTATGCTGTTACTGATGGGAAATACTTTTGTCTGTACCAGTGCTACTTGTATCTTGTTAGAGCTCCTACGGCCTTTTTTTGCTCATATTGTGAACTAGAATTAATAAATAATTCTTTTTATATAGCAATTTTCATCCCATCTGAAGTGCAGCACCCACTTGCGTGATGTCAGGCTGACGTTCTCTGCTTGCAGTCCCACTGCACATTTGTTTAAGCCTGGAGTGGAATCTGGGACAGTGGGTTTAACCCCTCTGCTCATTGGAAAAGTCACATGGGGGCTTGTAGTCAGGACCTTAGTCTGATGTCTCATCTAAAGGATTGCACCTCCTCCTGCACAATGTCCCCACTCACTGTAGTGAGGCATTGCTTTGGAAATTCTGGTACAGAGGGATGAGCACCACCTATTGGTCCACCAACACTATTTGCAGGAGTGACCTGGATATTCTCGGAGGTCGTCCAGCCTTGCTTAGGTTCTGAGATGAGGCCGCGGTATGGTAAAGTGCAGTATTGCCGTTTGTGCTGTGCCAGTAGAGCTTATGATGTCTGTAGTATCTCTTCTTAGGGCCCTTCAGTCCGTTCCCTGTGGCATGCTTCTGTACTTAGCACCGGTTCTAACCCAATGGGTCGGACATGTTGTCTGCTCTGTGATGGAGCTGTTCTTGCTTGAGCTTTGCTGTTGCAAGTGTGCACTTTCTTTATAGGCACACAGCTGTATGATGTAAAAAGGAATGACAGCTGGGGCTTCGATTTTGAATGCAGACTGAAGGGATTGATGATGCTAATCCAAAAAGCTGTGGAAAACTAAGCATACTGATTTTTATTTTTTCAACACCCATAAAAAAAACCTCAGGATTTCCATTACATACACATAAAATTTGTTCTAAACAATTCCAATTTGTTCTTGTCATTTTTGGACCTGTGGAGATCACAGGTACAGCAATTAGCTCTCTCAAAGGAAGAGTTTCAGTCACCAGTGAGAACCAACAGAGCAACGTTTGTGTGTAGGATGAGGGGGTCCAGGAAGGCATTAGAATTGGAAGCTGAAGTGTTCTTTTGGTAGTTGGAGATGTTAAAAAGGCAGATTACACATTAGGATATGCCTTGCTCTGCATTCCAAATGCATGGTATCAAGTGATAATTTTCTATCCTTTCATAACAATCCTTTTGCTTTTTGGTGGTGTCTGTCCAAAAGCCAGAAAGAAACAGCAGGCAGGAAACCACTCAAAATGCAAAATGATCTTTACCAGACTAAAGTTTTTTTTTTCTTTGTCTTGGGACAGTACCCCTGAATGCAGACCATACAAACATTGTTGCGTAGACGTGTAGTGAGTGTACAGAACTTATATGTGTTGTTAACCCCAAGATTCTCACAAGATGAAAGAGAAAGCATCAGTTGGGGTGTAATCACTTGCTGATTTGACATTTTGCTGCAAAAAGCTAGTGGCTGGAGCCCAGTTTGGATAGCAGTTACACTGCCTGCCAAGCTCTTCTGTAATCCAAGTCATGAGAGTGAGAGATGGAGCACTGAGGACAAGTTCATGCAGTGAAGAAATAAAAAAAAAAAAACAGAAAAAGTAGAACCAGGCAAGAATAGCACATCAGCTTTGTGTGTCGGCTCAACCTTAGTGCGGACCACCAGGCTTCTTAACCACTTGCATGCAGATTGTTGTGAAGTGGATCTGCCAGCACTCAAGGAATTTCAAGGCATGTTTCTCCCTCCCTGGATGTCTCAAAATTGCTTAAAAATGTCATGAGAGGGATCTGAGCTTTTTATCAGACTTTTCTGCCCAGTGCGCTTGCGTATCTTTGTACAATTACATGAAACGGCCTAGCTGCTCTGCGCATCCCAGGATGTTATTTAAACTCCAGAAAGGCCTGGGGAGGCGGTGGGGAAGGAATTTAATGCAACAAATTTGTCTTATTAAAACTTGCGCAAATTAGGCCAGTTTTCATTTAGGCCACTTCATCCTGCTGTCTATATGTAGCTTATCTAGCTGTCTACTGCAGAACTGCAGTTTCCCAGCTCTGCAGTTCATCTGATCCATGACTTTACATTGGATATGCCCATGTAATGCAAATAACTGAGGTGTTATGTTATGCCAAGTGCTGTCTGTGAGTGAGACTTTTCAGAGTGAGGAAAGCACATTCACATGCTCTTCCATCAACACTTTTGGAAGCATCTTGATGTCGCTGTACGTCAGAGAAACTCTTGTGTTCCTGCTGTGTTCCAGCAGATGGGAAAGTGTGTCATGGTCTGGCCGGATACCATTGAAAACATACTGGCAGAGCCTGAATGTTACCTAATCACCACGTGACATGGTCATCTAAAGCCCCTTTCTTTGAAACGTAGTTTTAGATAATTTTTTTTTTTAACGTCTGGAAAACCTGAACTGAAAACCTGAGCTGTTGGCTCCTAAAAATCAACTTTCTTGAAAGCTGTAGACATATATGCAGCGTTGTTCTGCGGTTACAGGGATTAGGTGGGAAAATGAACAACGCCGCATTTTTGAAAATGAGCTATGACAGGAGCCCAGTGGAAACTACATTTTTTTAAAAAAACTGTACAAAGTAACTGAATGAGCTGCCTCCACAGTTCTCTGTCAGTCTGGCACAGGCACCCTCCAGAGAATAATGCCTTCCTGACTAATATCTCGACATCCACCCATTAATCCATGTTTGCAGTGTATCTGTGTGTAAATTTAGGTTTTCCATGGAATGAAGGAATAACAATATTAAAAACCTTCAAAGTCTAACCAAAAAGGTAATCATGTACTTCTTCCTTTTCTCTGTACATACATAACTATGTAGTGGAAGAAAGGACATCAATGTTTTGAGACCACCAAGGATCTCTTTATCGAGACTGGAAGTTGCAATGGGAAGTGTAAATACTTCAGAAGTGGAAGTTCCAGTTATTCTTTCCTATTACTATTATATGATTACTGTATAATATAAGGATTATAATAACAGAATATAGTTACAGAATATAATAGGATAGTAAAAACACTGTTGTATGTGTGAGACTTCACATAATTTATTTTAAACAATATTATCAAGGTCATGTTTAAAAATGGCAAAGATTTTCATATTTACTTACAGTCTTCCATAATATGAAAGATGGCTTAAAACATAAAATGTAATTATTATAATGCTACAAATAAGGATCCTACAAAAGAGGATTAAAGTGATAAGGGGGTCATTGTTAAAAGATGAGTGATGCAAAACGTTTCTCAGTTTCCTAGCAACAGATCAAAATCATCTTCTCTCCTTGGAAATTAAAACCTGAAAAATGGGATGAACAGGATGGGTGTTGTGCTCATGAGATGGGAGAAAGTGAAGCTGTTGGTGTTGACATTAACCAGGTACAGTCTATAGAAATCCCCAGTGAATTGAGGAGCAGGTGAGGATTAGCTGAGCATGGAGCGTGTTGACAGGGCTGTGCAGTTTCACAGGAAGTACTGTACAAGAGTCCTCTAAACTCTGGGAGGATGTGGTCTCCATGTGGATTTATGGAATCCCTGATGTCCCATTTCCCCAAGAAAACCAGTGTTATAGAATTATGTAGCATGACAATGGTCAATAAAATGAAATACAATAATATGAACCTAATAAATTAACAAAAAACAATATCATTCAGAATATCCAAGTTCTTTTGTTAATTAATCTTTTTTTATGGTTTAATCATACATGTGGTCTTGTGTAGAAACACAGAAAGGAATGCTTAATTTTATTCTATAATCTTTGCAGTGCAGCTCTACAGTGATGTCTACATTACTGTAATGTTATACAGTAATGTCTACCATCTCAGTGTTGCAGGAGACACCAGACAAGCTCAAGGTCTTAAAATGTTTTGCATGGGGGGGGGGGGAAACCTCCAGATCCTGTATGTTTTAAACTTTAAAGGAACATATAAGTTATTAAATGAAATGCAGCATAAAATGATCTCAAAAACGTTCTGCGATGATCCTGTATATTGCTTAGCTAATGTATTATGCAGTATAAAGAGGTAATTGCATCTATAGATAAAATGTCATTGTTCCCTCCTTGATAGTCATCTTGAATAGAGCGCACTACGAAGGGACCTCAATCACGTATTCAGAATTCTCAAAGGTATTTACGTAGTCAGCCCATAGTGAACTGGAAGACCCAAGTTGAAACTACATAGTCATTCATTCAAAACTGAGAACCCGTCACCCTTCTTTACCCAAAGGGTTGCTGGGGTCTGGAACAGGCTGCCCAGCCTTGTTGTCAAAGCCAGTACCCCGGCTTCATCCAAAAATCCCTGGATGAGATCCTTGGATCGATTGGCTGCTAGCGGAAGAACCAGCCAGATGGACGGAATGGCCTCTATTGATCGTAAACTGTCCTTATGATGCAACATCTGGATTTTGGCTCAAAAACAGGGATGAGCAAATCGCATTTTGATCCGCAAAGCTGCCAAAGCTTTTCCACCACAACCATCCACAGGTTGGAAGTTAAAATCCGAGCCATTTTGTGCTTTACTAGTAATAGGCAGTTGTATGTAAATGTTTTGTAGGCACAGATATGAAGGTGAGGTTTCTCTTTTTTTCCATGTTGTGGGGATAATTTGTACAAGTGCCTGCACTGTGTAAAAGCTGAAGATGACTCACTCTGCAGTGGAGGTCTGTTCCCCCATCCTGTTAGTTACTCACATTGTTAAAATCCATTGTCTTTACACGAGGCGGCAGCTCCTTTTCTGAAGACTGGCTGCTGAGGGCAGGGGTGCCTGGGTCTGGCAGCATGTCAGCGGCAGCCATTTACCTCTGCCTGGAGCTGTGTTCATATCTCTCAAAGGGTCAGAAAACTCCTGCAAAGCTGGAAAAGTGGGGGTTGAGTGCCAGAGAGGGGAGAAGGGGGTAAGTGTGGTGGGGCGCCCATCCGTAACTGAACGGATTATTCATTTTGTGTCTTTGGGTGCAGTGGAGAACGTCCAGCTGAACCTGGCCCTGCAGACGGAGAACAAAGGTTCCCTTGTGCCGGGAGGAGAGCTGACCGTGTGCCTGGACGGGCTGGCTGTTGATCTGGGAAGTTTGCCTAATGGCAGCGCTGTGACGGACAGTAAGTGCCGAGCTGCCGACGTGCACAAGAGCCGCCACGCCCGCGCGCGGGGGGAGCCCTGCCGTTCAGCGCGCCGTCTTCTTGGCGCTGGGAGTGGAGGATGGAGCAGGCGCGAACACCAGGCCTCGCGTGCTCCGCAGGCCCCCCAGCACCCCTTCGCGCAGATGGGGGGCGGAGGTGGGTAAGGCGGAGGGGCTCCCTGTGCTCGCTCACACGCCCCCCCCTGCAGGTACCCCGCTGCCTCTTGCATACCGACATCTCTCCTCTTCACAGGACTGCACAGACGTGGACAGTGGACACAGGCGCTCAGCCACGTGGCCACGACACAGATAAACACAGGGGTTTTGACTCTAGCTGTACAGATGCCACAGGGGATGTTTGCCGCTAGTCCAAAAGATCAAATTCAGCCACAGCAGTGTACATGCCTTTTACAACTTAAGGAAAGATAAATTGGTCGTACTATTTTGTCTTTATCAGACGCAGCAAGCAATATGCACTCTATAGGCAGGTCTTGCACTGTTTTTGTTATAGATCTGCCAAGGCAAGGCAGTGTCGCAGCACTTCTCTGGCGCACCAGGGATTAATGCAGCAATATGCGTATTCACTCCAGCTGTTTTAGTCCTTAAAAAAGTAGAGGTTTGTTTATCTTGTGACAAAAGTAAGGGCAAACTTCACACTGTAATAATTCCTTTTCAGATCTGTGTAGGACCTTTGGGTCTTTGAAGGCAGCAGCTATTAATAATGCCATTATTAATTTTATTATTTACTGCATGTGTCATAAGCATAATTTATGTTATGATTCACTTTGTTTTCATTTCTGTTTAATCTCTACTTAACCACGTTAATGGCTTATTCTGGCAGAAACAGCCTCATTAGAAACTGTAAAAGGCCAATTTCCAGGGGAGTAAAAGATGATTAAAAACATGCCATGCCAAAAAAATGTAACGGGGGAGCAGTGCATTGGTTTTTTCCAGGAAGAGTGCAAACAGCCCCTAAAACAGGTGGAATTGACCATATTTCACATGCTGCATCTGTGTCCAGGTGTTTGTGTGCTTTGTAACCCTGCAGGATGCACAAGGTTAGGCTGCCAGATATGAGTATTTGCCTACTCTTTTTAATGCTTGTTGCTTTGTTGCATTGGTCTTTATAGTGATAATTTAAATAGCAGTCAATAGTTAAAATTACAGAGCACTCTTTTAATAGGATAATTGGACACTTTTATTGAGAAAGTGCTCTTTCAGGCAGCATATAATGGGGCTGACTGGCTGTGTCATATTTTGCGTCTTTTCCAAAAAATGGGTTCTTTGCAGTTAACTGTCAATTTAAAGTTAATAATCCTACTCGTAAGCTCTACAAGAGAGCTTTGATGCAGTCGAAGCCAAGATCTTCATTATTTTTTGCCTGTAAGGTCACAATATTATTAACAACAAATTAGCACGAATCAAGCTTAACCTTTAGAACTGGATTTGTTCTGTCTCCCTGATTGATAAAGATAAATCTTAGAATATTACAGCCCAGTTGGAAGGCAGTGATCAGACAAGATGTTCACTGCAGAACAATAAAAATGCCACATACTGTATCATTTTTTTATCGTTAGCCTGTCTGCTGTCTGAATGGCACTATAATAACAGTACTTGGATTTGTCTTGGAGTCATTTTAACCAGGGTTGGTTTTTGACGTCTCGGTAATGACTTTTAATGATTTCTCTGGTTTGAGATTACTGGAACACTGGGCCTTGTCTGAGTCTGGGGTTCAGTTCTCGCTTGATTAAGGCTTCAGCAAAAAATAAATAAACATGCCTCACTTTTATCCAGCTAAAAATAAATCAATCTATTTGTCCCCTATATACTGATTTCACTTAGACTCCTTATAGTTAATTTGTAGCTGTGCAAAAGCTTTGCCAAGTCTAAACTATTGTTGCTTTGCAATACTCAAGAATCTGTAAAACTAATTTGTTGATCATTTCAAAGTGAAGAGAATGGTAGTGCTCTGGCCTAGTTGTACATAACTGTCTTGTTAAAGATAAATTTATTTTTGGAATCTTTTCTGGTTCTTTTGAGCATTATTTGAGTGGGACTGTTATTTCTTGGAATTCTGCCATACCGGTTAAGATGAATTCAGCTACTGAATGGAATTTAATGATTGCCAGTTTTTCTGTTTGGGGTTTCTGGACGTCATGCTGTTGTTTGAAAAAAAATGTTCTGACATTAATTCCAAAATTGTAGCATTAATGAAAAGGCAATCTTTAAAAAAACAACAGCTTGGTATTTTGCTGCACTTGTAGAAAATCTTACTTTTTCTGCTGCTCAAGAGAAAAACGATCTGAAATTATTGAAACTCAATCAGGTACTGAAAATACTGTTTTAAAAATTAGATATTTAAATTGCACCTTCTTGCAAGGAAATAAACAGATTTTATTTTTCATCTCATTAAAATGTAGCTGTAAAACAGTTGTATTGCATTGCAAAACATATCTTGGCAGCACTCATCTCCTGCCTTCATATTCTGCTGATCTTTTTTACTCCTTCCACACCCTTGCTCTCCTCTTCCTGTCTCTTCTTTCTCGTCCACGGTCATCTGAGTCTTTCTGCACCATTGGTTTGTTGCAGTGCAGTGTACCCTTGATCTGTTAGACGAGATCTTATTTGCTCTTTAGTTCTGATGTGGATGTTCCTATGACCCCTGTGGGCCAGAGGGTAAGACTCTTACTGAGTGCCCATGCTTAGCTGTGGAGTGGCCTTCTGCAGGGTACAGCACTGCTTATACACCAATAGAGGGTAGCAGTGATGTCAGTGAGAAATTCATTGCTCTTCCAGTTGGTGTTCAGACTGAAGAGTGATTCTCTCCCTATCTGATCTGCTTGTCATTGTCCACATTTTAGGATTAATATATTTAGACTTAACCTTCAACCCTTCCTGCAGTTTTCCATATACAGTATGACACAATAGTATGCTAGTTTCTAAGAAGTATTGATCTTTCTTTTTGAAAGATAATATGTGCGCTTGACAGGAGAAAAAAGTGTTAGAGGCGATAAATATCACCATCAACACCCCAAGGACGTTGATAACTTGTAAGTTATCAAAGTCCTGGGGGTGTTGATGGTGATATTTATAGAAGAAATTAAACTATTTGATTTTCCTTATTTTTTACTTCCCAAACATAGTGAACAGTTAAAGTTTTACATGCTCAAGTGTCTAAGCATTGGGCTGAAAGAGCTGGTTAAAAAGGATTTTTTTGTTTGCGTTCATGCTGTCAGAGGAACGTTTATGTGTAATTTGTTTTTCAAATGGTGTAATTGGGGGTCTTGATCTCGTATAGCACAGAACAGTGAAGTCCAGTGATCCTTACACAGAGCAAGTTTCTTCTTAGATTTTGACTTAATGGGTGACCTATGGCTCTACAGCGTCACACAGTATTATGGAGAGAAAATGATTTTCTTAAGTCTGAATGGCTGCTTTCTTAAAAAGGGACTGTTTTTTTTTCCTTTTCCTGGTTTACCCACATGAGGACATTATTAATTTGCTCATAAACAGACTTTTGTTATCAAAAGAGCTGTGGGGTGGCTTTGCTTTACTGATCTGGCAGAGCGGTTTTAACATACAGTACCAGCAATCTCTGTATATCATCGATGACTGGAGACCAGGTTTTGGCCTGTTTTGCACCTGAACCTAATGTAGGAGAAATTGCTCTCAAAGATCCAGGAAGTCTTAAAGAAAACGATCCAAATATTTGTTTCTGTCTTGGTCATTATCTGGAGAAGCAATGACATTTCCTTGTCTGCTTAAGAATAAAACAAAATAGGCAATGAGGAAAAGAGGCAGTGTTTTCATTACAAGTTTTGTTTCAGTGTGTAGTGTGCAGACTGTGCACCAAATTCATGGTATTTTATACACACGTGCTCCTTCGTCACATTAGTGGGATCCGGTGTCCTAATTTTTGGCTCAGCTGAATTACCATTAATTTACTGTATTAAATATTAAGTAGGGGTGTAACCCCGGCATCCTGGCCAAATTTCCCATTGGCCCTTACCAATCATGGCCTCCCAATAATCCCCATCTCTGAATTGGCTTCATTACTCTGTTCTCCTCCCCACTGAGAGCTGATGTGCCCCCTACTGGCCCCTCTAACACCTCTTCCAGCAGTAACCTTAGTTTTTCCCAGGCGGTCTCGCATCAAGGTGCTGACCAGGCTCACACCTGCTGAGCTTCAGTGGGCTGCCAGTTGTGAGCTGCAGGGTGATGTGGCTGCCGGCAATCTGTGTTATAAAGTCTTGAAAACCGAGGCAAGGAAGGTGCGCTGTGTGTAAAAGGATTGTGGGGGGAAAAAACAACTTGTAACGGGACCAGTAAGACAGACCGATGGGCGTTCTACAGTTGTTTTTAAGGTAACGGAGCAGAAAGGTCATGTGTGATTGGATCACTCTTCTTGCCTTCAGAACCGCAGCAGAGCGATGGCCATGGTATCCGTCGGACCCAGAGTGAGGATTCACCGCCCTCGAGCTCCGGCAGCTGTTCTGGCCCCAGAGGAAGGTGGGTACTGTATCCACACGTGTCAAACCACAACTGCTCCCTGGACAGGAGCAGCCATCCACAGAATCCTCAGGGAACCTCCTACACCTTTTATCAGTAACAGTTTAGAAGTCTTCTGAGATCTTTGAAACCTGAAAGATGAGTAGTTTTTAACAGAGGCCTATGTGACTTCAGTGACATCAGAGAGACCTGCCACTCCTTTTTTCAGTGCTCAGTATAACTCTCCTGCTGAACACAGGGGGGCTGTATAAAGAATACAATAAGTCAGTGGATGGTGATTGCCATATTCTTTTAAAAAAGATTTAACAGGCAGATAAATGGCGTTAATTAGAAGTTCACAGGCAGATAAGAATGGCAGAAATAAAAGTTGAAAGGTAGAATCTGCACACACTATTACACCTTTATTTGATGTAGAAACATGGGATCTTTTTGCAGATAAAATGAATGGCATGATGGCATGAAGAAAATTAATTCTAATAAATCCTCTAGGCGCCTAAATGTGAAATTCTGAGGCTTGTGAGGAAAATAAGAAGCGTTTTCCTCTCTGTAAGCATATTCTACTTGAGGAATTCTCCAAGCTGAATCTGGAGTAACTCCCTGTCTGGTGAATGGTGTGGGATGGTTTTTCTTCATGCTATACAGACAGGAGGAGGGTGTTTAAAGGGGACTTGAACTGGGAATAGCCGAGCAGTTCAAAAGCTTGGTCCCAGCTGTTCCGGTGTGTTGACAGTCTTGAATCACAGGCTTCCTCCGTTAACAGATCTTCTCACCAGCCCGACCTGTTTGCTCCATCCTCCCAGGCTTTACATTGCGCTGGTCTGTGGGACCGCGGGCAGAGTCACGGCCCTCAGATTATTTTGTGGTCATCACAGAGCCGGCCAGTGGCTGGTCAGGACTCTGCCGTTCTCCCGTGACGGCTGCTGTCTGACATCTACACTAGGGATTAAACAAGGGAAGGGTTAAGGCTGCAGGGATTTGGGAAGAATTCTGGGAGGGGGGATTGTTTTTGATTGAAAACTGTCTTGAAAGCCTAAAGCCTGCCGTCTGCATTTTAATGTAATGTCGTGTTCTGGTCCCTGGATCTGAGGAGAATGCCAGGGGTGGACTTGAGTGACCTGATTAAACTGGGCTTGCAGTCTTGCAGTTTTAATGGCATATTGTCTGTAGTTCGGTTTTACATAGGAAAGATGATGGAAAAGGAAAAATATGAATATGAACAACTTCCTATGTGCTATTGTATCTTGTCAATGCTGCAAAATATGGTGTAAGAATAAACTAGTGTAGCTGTCATATGTATTGTGGTTCAGAGTATTCTTGCTAAGGTGCAAGAATGAGGAGCCTTAGTTTTAGTCTTGGCTAAAGACTTGAGTTAAAGTTGTTCATGGAAGCTCTCCCACAGAGAACACTCATATGAGTCGATGTCTCCTTTTTTTCCCCAAATGTGTGTCATAAACATCATTGTTCTGCATCAGCATCTGTATTACAACCTTGCACAAAATAACGGACTGGACTACCAGCTGCTGCTGTTTGCTCCCTGTTGTGCATTGTGCTTTGTATTGTCACTTACACATTCACTTTCAAAGTCAAAGCTGCTTATTTTAAGGAGAGTGCTGTGCATACTATTTGGGTACCCATAAACTATTGGTAAAACACAACTTCCTTACGTTCCAAGTGGAAAAACATTTTACAAGGAATGTGAAAATTAGCAACAAGATATAATGGATTGGACTGAGACACCTTTCGAACACATGCCCCCAGCTCCCTGAAACAGGACAGGAAAAGTACCCACTCAACTTCTGAATTTCCCACGTTTCCCACTCCTGCTTCAGAGAGAATGATTCATTGTCTTTGTTTGGCTGGAGAAGATTTAGTCAGGCGGGAGTCATGATGATTCATGGATCTCTCCCTCTGGAGTTTTGGCCACAAAGGGAAAAATCTGTTTGGTGACCTACAGTTGTAGGTTTCATAGACTGTGTCTGCCACCTCTGAAAAATTACACCGCGTGACTGCATCTTTCTGAAGGAGAATGGTACACAGAGGTCTTCTTGAATTCTGGGAGGTGGGTATCACATTTCTCAGTGTGCTGTGAAATGCTTAAGAAGTTTGATTTTGGCATGTTGGTGTCATAACTGCTTGTCTGTTCACATGCAGTAAGCTTATTGTGCAGCTAGTGAACAGAATGACTGTTAAATTCCCATTTTTGAATTTGTACACGATAATAGCATAGCATGTGTTGGAAATTTAAAACTATTTTTTTGTAAGGTTTTATAAAAAAATGATTACATGGAACAATCCCATTTTAATGTAACTGTGTTCTTCTGTCTCTTAGGCTTGTTGATCTGAATTTTAAGTGAACTAGAACATTAGAGTAGTTTTCTCAGCTCTTTGTCCTGTTGGACATGTTTTTTTGGATCTCTAAAAACTTAATGAAAATAAAACCACCGAACAAAAGAGTTCTGTTCTCTGATCTTTTTCATAGGGATGTACAGAAAATGCTGTACTGTAAAACCTGCAGGAAAGTCCAGAAGGTTCAGCACTGAGTTCTGAAAAACAGCAAAGAGAGGCTGCAGTTTAACCCATGTGCTGTGACTAGTCCTACAATATATAACATAGAAGAAGTAAAGCTGAGGAATCTCCCCACTGGATTGCAATGAGGCTGGCTTTAACAGGGAGCAGAAGGAAACGAAACTCAGTAGTTCACAATTAAATCTCTCACATGCTTTGGATAAAAGTGTCTGCTAAATGACTTGGTTTGTTAATATTTATGAATCCTTTTAAGTTGCCCTTTTCTCATTTGGATAAGGAAAAGATGTGTAGAAGAGGAAAATGGATGAGGGCAAAGAGTTTAAGCAGAATCTTCCCAGCTTGACCTCACAGTGCTGCAGATATATTAACACACCACCGTGAGGAATCTGACATGTGGCATCTGTATGACAGGAAGACGTATGGTCCTGTAAACCTTTTGTTTTTTCACACCACTGGCAGTTTGTAGTGGGTATGGCCGGGGATGGGTTTTAAGGGATAGGATGAAGTGCATGTGGGGTCGTGTCCATGGGATTAGTTTAAACTATTTATTTTCAGAACTCTCTGAAGTCTAAAGAATTACAGTACGCTCATTTCCTCCGGTTCAGAATGTCAATCTTCTGAATCTGAGGTGGGGTGTTCAGTTTCTCCCCTAACGCTTTCAAAAGAAACATCACCTGTGAGAATAAATAAGGACTGGTAAATGGTAAATGCGCATTTTTCTTAGTTTTACAGTCATCATAATAATCTTGTTGTGATGTCTCTGCAGTCGTAATAGAATATTCAAGATGAGAATTTTAACGTGTCAGTTCTAGAGATCCTAAATCTCAACAATTATTGCTTCTGAGCTACATGATTTATAAAGGCAAAGGTAGTAACCCCCCACCACCCCCCCCCATCAGTGGTGGCTGAGAGTTTGATGGATTAGAGCAAGACTAGTCCATGGCCTCTAAACTGGTTACAGCTGGACCCTGGGCCCTGTCTTTCTTTCACTGTGAATTGATCCCCGGTTTTTATTGGATCTTTCCTTATGAGAAATAACAGTGACATCCATGCTCTCTGTGAGATTTCTCTTTCAGCCAAGGTGCTATCTGTAACAATTAAGGATGTGGTGTTTACTCCAGCTAGCTGATGGCTGATCCAGGCAGTGGAGTTATGCCCTGCCTTAGCAGAGGTGACGATTATTGACGGAAACAGGTCTGAAGCTTTCCTACCGAAGAAGCTCTGGTTTCAACCGCACTGTGGTGCTGCTCTTGGGTCAGTTCTTTCTCCCACCACACCAGGAGTCATTTTCACCAGTGGACTCCTGAAAGCAGCTGTTTCCCATCTTCTCATGATGAGGAAAAACAGACGTCTCCTCTAATATAATTCAGACAGGTTTCATTTGCCAAATCATTTTTCACACAATGTTACATTTGGTCATAGTGGGTGTTTATATCTGTGGTTGTCAAAACCGAAACAGACGTGGAACCTACAGGTTTCTTTAGTATTAAACATAAGTAAGCAGAATGTAGCCAATCTGCTTAGGTTGTTTCCTAGTGACCAAAAGAAATGTTTTGGTTGCATTAGCATGAGAGCAGTTGTGCCCAGCCCTGGTCCTGGAGAAACACTCCAGCTGTGTATATGGACCAACCTTAAATCAGCACTTTCTGAACACGGAGAACAATTTAATTTCATCCACTGAAGCAGGTTTATTCATTCAGTTAAGTTAATTCCAAATGAAAAAATAGCATTTGATTGAGCCAATATTATAGAATATATGTAAAATGTGCACCGTGTCCTGCTTAAGCTGTTAAGAATAACTATTTTATTAAAATTAATCTGATTGTGGCATTCCTTACAGATCAGGGATTAATCGGAGTTCTCTATTTTATATTAGCTGTGGGGCAGCAACATCAACCATTTGGTTTATTGACCAAAACTGAATGTGAGACCAATTGCATTGTTTAATGTTAACTTCACTAGACTTTGATCTACTGTATATACTGTATCCACACTGTATTTAAAAACAGGGTCTTAAACTCTGCCCTCTCCACTTTCAAGCCACCCATTTGGTAACCTGAAAGCAGAAAAAACTAAAGCCATGCAAAATTGTCAGAGCACTTTTCTACCATATTAGGTCAGTTCTGGTTTCTGTGTATGATTTGGCATAGAGTGTTGCTACGAATCCAACATTGCCACTGCTGTGTGTTCTCTCAGCATTTCCTCTGTTCCCCAGACCTGCTTCAAAAAGACATTTGTATTGTTCTTTGTTGTAAAACCACAGAGTTCTGTCTGTATCAAGCAGCCCAGTTGTGGTGTTCTTTGGTTGTTGAATCTGAGTTTGCTGTTCCCCACTCCAAGAAAAAGTTTGCTGTGCTCCTTTGGAAAGGGCTGTAGTAAATAATAAAGCAAAGACCACATGTTCTTGGACATCCCAGGTTTTCTGCATTAGGAATGGGAAAGAGATTTTCAACCACAATGCTTTACAGTTAGTCCAAGACTTTTTTTTCTTCAGATTTTGAAACTTGTCGGAACTAGCAAAAAAAAAAAATTGCAGGTGGTTCACATCTGAAGCAGATTTCTTTTGTATTAAAATTCACAGCACACAAACAAATGTGTATAAATGCTGCTTTTCTCCTTGGTGCCATTTTGTAATTAACAGATCCTGCAGAGCCTTGCTGTGTGACTGGAATATTTTCTTTCAGGGGCACTCAAAGCTTAAAGGCTTTTGAACATTTTTTTTGTGATTTATTGATAAAACATTGTGTGCTGTCTCTTATTAAAATGAGCACCACCGATCAAAAGCATGCCATAGTTTTTCAGGTGACCTTGGCGCCCATTGAATTGATATCGGCCTACTGCGTGAGCATCTGTTGGGCTTAGCATGCTTTAGAAGGCTGCGACTTCGATTCTTCCCAGATGTCTTAAATGCAGGTGGAAATATAATTTTATTTTCTGTTTAAAAGTTTTGTTACAGTATTCTAGCAGTGTCCTTTTGGGCCTCAATTTTAAAAAGAAAAAAGGAAAAACTCTGACGTAAAATAACTATTTTAAAGGTATGGCTTTCTTGACTCCCACTAGTCCTCTTGCGCTGGGACTGCGAAATCACTGTCTTAATGTACTCTGATTGATGTCATTGTCGCTAAATATTGCGAAACCTTATCTATACCTTTTCTTTTTTGTTAAATCATTTTCATAAAACATAAAACCACATGCAGTGAAACTACATGTCCTTATCACTGTTATCACACACAACCCTCTTCCTTTACAGTGTCACTTGGTACCTAATGCAGTACATGGGTTTTAGCACATACAGCTGGGTCAGCTTGCGTGGAGCACTGAGGTAAACTACTAGCAACCTTACTGTCCTTAGACTCACTCAGATCCTAACTAGGCTGAGACATTTTGTTCAGATCAGACTTCAGAGACACATACTTTGTACAGATTTGCACATGAGGGTTGTCCAGGTTTCAGGGCTTGCCCATTGACAGAGAGCAGGCTTCTCTGTGAATCTTCCAAACTCAGCTACCAAATTTGAACGTGGCCAATGACTGGGCCTGATCTGAGTTTTTTTCCAGTTGTGTGACACTTGCACTTATAACCACAGCCTGTTATTAAAATTTGTCTGATTGTTCTTTTCTTTGTGCTTTTCTTATTCGTAACTGTGTTCATGGCTGAGCTTCTTGGCTGTTTTGTCATAATAAATGAAAATCTGTTCTCTGACTTGTTTAAATACGTTATGATGAGATGGGAATGGGACATAGATTTGAGAAATCTGTGGTGCTCTTTCTGTATGTTGCTATTGAAATTAATTAATGATGTCTTCCTTTTGGTACCGGTTTGGAAAGCATATTGCCTTAGTTGATGAATCCAGAATAATATCCCTTGTATTCTTGAAACTCTCCACAAAACATCTTGGTACGGTAGGTTTTAGAAACTGTGATTTGGTTATGTGTGCTGTCGGCGTGGGTCTGATTCTCTGTTTCCTGTGGTTCAGATCACACAGACACTCTGCAGGAATGGCGAGAGGAGGGCCAGTGGCGAATGGAGACCCTGCGGTGAATGGAGAACACAGCCCCGGAGCAAGGAGCCGGCGCAGACAGACTGGCAAGGCCCTGAGCAGTAACACTGGCCTCGGCACACCAGGCAAGCACCACCGTATGACTGGGCACTGAGCAGGATGCTGTGTGTGCTCCTGAAATGCCCTCTCCCAGGAATGTGACATGTGACAGGGCGCTGTGAGATCTGTTTTCTAGTGCCGTCACATTGGAGTTCAGACCGTGGCTTTCAATCTGAAAGGTTACTTTAGGTAACTTTGGCATGCTGCACTGCAAGATCCAACTTTTATGCTTCCCTATTTATTTGCAGTTTGAAGTAAGAGAAATTATGATCAAGAGGGTCACTGAACTCAGCTTTGAATAGTGTTCATTTCAGAGCACACAAGCACAGGTTGTACCTTCTGGTCCAGATAGTAATGGTTAATTGGCTTCAGGGCAAAAATGGCCCTGGTATGAGTGTGTCTGTGTCTGTGTGTGCCCCTTGAGGAACTCATGTACCCTGCCTTGCTCCTGTTGCTTGCCGAGATTGGCTCTGGCTCTCCAGCAGTGCTGAATTTGAAGAAATGGTTAGAAAATGGATGGGTGGAATTAGTGCAGTAATGAAGTGTCTTGAGGACAACATTATAAAAACAGCAAGTATTTTATAGATGGAGATAATGGTCTGACCATCCATCCATTAAGTCAGAATGCTGCCTGTTCCTGGTCAGTGTAGTGGAAACCTGCATCCTGTCTCAGATACACAGGTAGGACTACCCACTGGACATTCTTAAATTAAAATGTGGGAGAAACTGAAGTAATCGCCTGAACTATAGCTACAAAAGACATAAAATAGTACCGGAATAAGTAATAGGTTTATTCCATGCTGGAAAAAAGAAGAAAGAAAACACAACGTTTTGGCCGTGGAGCCTTCTTCAGATGTGAGTGAGAAGGCTCCACGGCCGAAACGTTGTGTTTTCTTTCTTCTTTTTTAACAGCATGGAATAAACCTATTACTTGTTCCTTTGCAGCCTATGTATGCTACCCACCTGAACTAAAATAGTACCGTGTTTCTGTGATAATTAGCATTTGTTTTTTCAAACAACCTTTGTCAGAATTAATCAAATGACCTTCTCTGCGTGATTTCTCTTCTGATTCAGCCTGATATGCCATTCTGAAGCCCTCCTTGCCCAGAGCAGCCAGCTTAGCTAGCAGCATCTCAGACTTGCTGTAAATCAAATAAAGACCCTCTTGTGTATAAGCTCCTATTAGTATAAATAAAAAGTACAATGACCAAGTTTAAGAGTACTAAATCTGACAAAAAGTACATTAATGATGGCTCTTCAATTTTTACTTGGCACAACATAAAGAAAATGTTTTTCCCTGTCTCTTATTTGTTTTATTGAGCAAAGACAGTTAGGCGATGAGCTTACATCATACTCGGGTTAAATGCATTCAGCACACTATGGAATTTGTTTTGGCCCGCTGTGGCAGAGATTAAGGAGGTTTGCTGAGAGCACTGGAGGACTGCAGGGGCTGTGTAGGACTGAGTTCTGTTTTCTATTAGTGATCCTTAGCAGCTGGGAAGGGGAAAGGGCACTAATGGCACTTTCCTGGTTGCAATTACTATGCTGTCACCCTGGAAAGTGTAGGGCTTTTAAATGTACCATAGCACTCACAGCCATCAGATCCAGCCTCTCTGAGATGTTATCTCACATGAACTGGATGTAAGAAAGTCTGACAATATACAAAACCACTTTTTCAGTGGATTTTAAAGAGTGGGACTTTGTCAGTCAAGACGGTCGTATATATAGGACACCCTTGTAATTGCATGCCCTGGTATAACGCAGGGCAAAACTAGTGACAGGAATGTTTATATTGCTTCATAAACAATTAAAACGCAATATGGACATCTCATCAACCATGTATGTTGACAGAGTTTACCAAGAGAACTGCTTCAGCTTTGGTAGTGAAATAAGGACAGAAGGAAAAAAAGAGGAGTACTTTTAGCATTGAAAACAGTATGCGCTTTACACAAAGAATTGTGGCAATCTGGAACAAGCTGCCCAGCCATGTTTTTAAAACAGATCCCCTGTGATCCTTTATGAAACCTCTAGGCCTGGTCCTAAAATGAGTATGCTGCTTAAAACAAAATGAGCAAGAAAGACTTAATTTGTAATCTTTCACACCTGAAGAAGGCTCCACAGCCGAAACGTTGTGTTTTTTCTCTCTTCTTTTTTTCCAGCATGGAATAAACCTATTACTTGTTCCTTTGCAGCCTACGCATGCTGACGCAGCTACCCACTTGAACTACTATCTTTCTTATATACTTAGTTTCTGATACCACTGCCCAGGAGGAGAGTAGAATTTGAACCCATCTTGATTTTCTAGTGAGGGGTTTGTGCAGAAATAGGTACAGGTCCTAGAAAGACAGAAAGGGTTACAGTCCAAATATTACTGGGTTTTTTCAGATACCTTTCCGATTCTTGGCCTCTGTGTCTGTAGTGAAAATGAATTTCAAAGCTGGACTGTAAGAATTTTCCATTTATCAATTTTGTTCTTTATGTGCTATTGAAGTTTCATAATTTTCCATTTTATTGCAGAGGTCCTTGTTAAAGTGTCTCTGAAACTTATTTGTTTTTACAGGCCACATACAAATATCCATTGGGAGCCACTATATGTGCCAAGGTTGAAGTCTAACATACCTTGTAAATGACAATATGAATGAAGTAGTAAATCTTACTCATCTTAATCTAAGTGTGCGCCAGCTCGGACAGACGCTAGTGTGAGTGGAGGAGTGCCTAAGTGGGCTTTTTGGACATCCCTGTCCTTAAACGGGTATCCGGATGAATTTTTTCCACATTTTTTGGTCTTTGTATGCTGAAAGCACTCCAATAAAGTACAAGCCACTTCAATCCTTATAGAAAATGTCCATCTGCAAAAAAAGAAGTGGTTCCTGTTTAATCTGGCGATTGAGAGCCTGTTTCTCAAGCTCGCTATGCCAGTAGTAGACTGTTTTCTCACTTTGTGGGGTTTGGCTAATGTCGCAGTGGAAAATACTGTCGCAAACACAGGTTTTTCTCACTTCCCATTGTGTGCCATATTTTCTCTTTCTTCTGACACAATCTCCAAATAAAGTGCAAGAAGGTGACGACTGGAGTGTTCCCGGCCCGCTGTGATTTTAGCGGTGGGTCAGTTTTGGCGTGACACAGCCTGTGGGCAAGTCAGGCAGCTGTTTACACGCTGGTGGAGAGAGAGGGAGACGCTTCCTGACTGAGACAAGGGCATCTTTAAGAAAAAGACCGGAGTGTTGTTTCTCAAAACACTGTGTGCGTGTGAAGCAGCTCTGTGAGACGTTTTTTCAAAACACTTATTGATGGCATTACGAGAGAACAGCCGGCTACCAGTCTTAACATCATCTGTATTAGTCAACTGGATGTCACTTGTGCAGAGCGAGGTACAGGAATAAAAATTGTTCTGCCAAGTGGATTAAAATGAGAGATGCACTTACCATCCACGCGTGGCTCAATAAGAGTTCTCTCCTTTACAATAATGGCACCTTTCAGTTCTGAAACCTGAGTGTCTAAAATAGGACTGCTTTCTGAACTGAACTCTTAAGCCTGTATTCCGCTATTAATATCGCCAAATATCTTCAAGCTAATTTTCCCAGAACTGGGATGGAAAAGAGGAAAAGGTTTGCCGGATGATTTTTTTTCCTGAGCAAAAAAAATAGTTTTTTTTGGTGAAGATTGGTGGCAAATCTAAGATGTTTGCTGGTATGGACAGTAGCAATGAAATAATAATTATTTTATTCTGGAGTTCTTCGAATCTGAGAAAGGGGTCCGACTTTTGCTTCAGACCTTCTCCTGTAATGACGTTTTCCACAGGCATCCTTGGTTTTAATCTTTAAACTTGTGACTTTTAGCCAAGGAGCATGGTTTCAGTTTAGAAAAACTCTTTGGACAAACATAGTTTTGTAAAATGTATTTTTATTTAGCAAAGCTCATTCTTTTAATTTAGCAGGATTCAATTTGTTTGATACATAAATGAAATACAGAAAGATAACCAAGCACTCCCTCTGTGCTGAGTGTGAAGAAATGGCCAGACCAGGCCTTCACAGCTTTGCATGAGCTTCTGAGGGAGCTTTTCTCTGATTGCCTGCAGTCCTGGGTTTGTATTTCTCCAAATTACCCTAGGAGGAGAAAGCCAAAGTACAGATTAAGAAGACTTAGTCATTTTACTTTGGCCTGTTAAACATCTGTGGATTTAACTTGGGCAGATGTGTATTTACTGGGCCTCGTGTTTGAACTACAAAACGTAAAAACAATGCATTATTTGTCCCAGTTTTGGGAACAGCATGCTCAGTCTCCTCTTGCTGGGTGGATATTTGGTCGTTTTATTTTTAGTTGCGATCCCGTAGCTTTAATTTCTAGGTAAAGCAGCAAAATGCATTGCTCCTACACAAGTTTACAGAACAAAAAAGGACCTCAGCCAAGAAAAGCAGTGTGTCATTGAGGTTCTTCAGCAGGCAGCAGTGTACTGTACCAAGCCAAAACGTAAAATGTGATATTATGGCAAGAGATCCTACTTTACCAGCACAGCTCAGAGCTAAACCACTTCTCTTTGATTGTCTGCATTGATCCCTGCCGTCTAAATCCTGAGCCTGAACAGAGATAGAAACGTTAGCACGCAAGCAAATATTAATGGGGAGAACAGGTTCAATGAAGTGTGGTTTTGAAGGATCCCAAACTGTCTCCGGCTCTGTCACGTGGCTAGGTAATCTAGGATGTACTGAATTGGTAGTAGAAAGCAGAGATAATTAGTAATTAAATAACAGTAGATTGTGTCTAGAAAAATCTGATTTTAAATTTAAATCTGTATTCATAGTGAGTGCCTTTGCACGCTCAGTGTGCTGAAAATAGAACTCCTTTACACGCAAGATGTGCGATAAATAAGAGAAACCTCATTGACAAAAAAGAAACTGCAAAACCTAAGGTAACGTTTTCAAAATGCGGAGCTTAATCTGCAGAATCCTCATACGGTTGATGTCAACGATCAGCTCTGTGCTTTCACTCTTTCCCTCTTTTTAGTTTTCAGGTAAAATACATTGCAGAGGATTAAAAGTCTAAGTACCTCCTGCCTGTCGACATTGCTTGTTCCCTTAAGCTCTGAAATCTTAGCAGCTCAGCAGTGGAACTTCTGTGAGGCTCCTCTGTCTTTAAGACTTGGTGACCACAGATTTTATGGAGTATTCCAGATGTGGTCTAACTAGGGCATCATTGTACTCTTTCAGTTTAACTTCTGTTGACTTGTCCTCTCGAGTCTTTGCTATGTATCCCAGTCTCCTCTCTGCAGCTTAGTCTTAATCACCATGCAGACGGCCACACACAAGGCAGATAGGGATACCAGGGAAGAGGAAGTGCTGTGGGTAATCTGAACAAACAGGTTATTTTTGGGTGCTTTGTTCATTATAATTTGGCTAGCTTCAGGATTTTATCATACGCACTGGGGAGAAAGATTTGGGCATTGTGGTAAATTCATTACGATCTGGGAACATTTACATTCACTCCATTTACATAGGTTATAATACAGGCCTTAACGTATTGGCAGAGGACCGCTAAAGAGAGAGCTTTGTCCCCTGTGCCCCTGGCTCTAACAGGGCTCTGAACATGTGTTCCTGCCGGTTCGGAGAACACAAAGCCGTCCCCTTCAGCAGCTGCATTACGACAGGGAAGGAGGTTAATTGCAGGGTCAGCAGGAGCCTCCGCCGATCGCGGCTCTGACAGCATTAACTCTCGCTCCCTGCCTTGTGTGCACAGGGAAGGCGGAGGTGGCAGCCAACGGCACGGAGGATGGGAGGAGAAGCCCCACGTGTCAGACGCCGCCCCCATCAGCGGCCCTCTCCACCAGCACCACCCCCTGTGCCGGGACCCCCAGCTCGGGCAGCGATGCCCCGCAGGGCGACACAGGAGAGACAGGAGGCACGCCCACTCCAGACCAGGCCTCCGCAGCACCCGAACAGAACATGGAGTCCCTGCCTCCTGGGTAAGAGCCACTTGAAGAACCTGATGACAAGTGTTTTCTGTCAGAGTTATAACAATGGCAAAATAAACAGGAATCTAGTTATTTCATGTCAGGCCCCTGAGTGTCCAATGTATCCTAGTGCATAACATGGATAAGTGGATAAAATGCCATGATTGTACAGTATCTAAGCTGCTATCAGTATTTTTTCTGCCAAATGCTTTGAACTTCTCCACACAATTGCCCTTTTAATTTGTTTGTCATTTCGAGCGATTGCCTAGCATGACTTCCTCACCCCTCCCTGAGAGCTGACCCACAGGACTTTGCGCCACATGAACGAGTTAGTGAATCCACTGTGCCCTGTTGATTTGGCAGGTGACATCAAAGCAGTGCTTCAGGTTTAACCAGAGAGGTCCTCCCCACAGAGCAAGACATTTACCCTGTCTGTTTCCACACTTCCACGGCACAAAATAAAAGTGAAAAAGAGACAGACTGCCATGGCTGAACAGCCAGCAGGGAAGTAAAAAAGGCCCTGTAGTTAGAGGTTTGGAGGAATTTTAGTCGTGGGCCGTTGCAGTCAATGCTACATTGTGAGCAAGTTTCAAAAGAACCAGGGGCGAATGTGAAAGCGTGCTCTATTGCCAGACGTTTTTTCACCTCGGCCTGTTTGCTTTGTCAGGCACAGTGTGGTGAAAGACCTGCTTCTTCTCCAGCTGACCCCTTCTGTCTCTCTGTAGAACTTTCCTCCCGGCTCCTGTGTTTATTTTGGATGGGCTGGGCCCCGCAGCTTGTAGTCGGCTGGGGGTGGGGTTCGTTTGGAAAACACAGTGTGCTCTTCAGACGTGTGTTGTGTCTGTGTAGCACTGCGGAGAGTGTGAAGTGGGTTAAATATAAACATCACAGAGGGAGGAACAGAAAATCGCTGTTGTACACTGGGCAGCTCTGAAGTCCCATTTTTTCCCTGTTCGCACTTTCATCTTGTTAGACTTGTGGAGTCCAGTGGTGCCTTGCCCCAGGCAGGAGGTCCAAAGTAAGATCTGGAATCCTGTCTGCCTTCAGTTTGCGAGAGGGGATTGCGAGTTCCCTGATGACCTCATAGATAACGACTGGATTGTGTTCCTTTTAGTCCAGAACTGAACAAAGTGAATTGGCCGACTCCGTTGGAGAGAGTGACGGAACAGCGAAGTATACAACACACCAGCTGCTGACTAAGTAGCTGGTATATGTCCAGATCACAGAGTCCAGAGGGCTCTCGGCTCTCTCGGCCAGCACGGGTTGAGCCCTGTGGTCCAGGCAGGGCGGGTTCGAGCCTGGGCCGTGTCACTAGCTGACTGTGACCTGGATCCCCCAGGCACTGTTGCAGGGTTGATGCAGGGTGGACCAGGCTGAGTGCTGCCCGAGAGTGGGTGGATGGTAGGCCAGGCCTCTCTGGGCTCTTGGTGGCACAGCGCCCCCTGTGGCCTCCTGGGCTCTTGCAGGCGCGCAGTACTGTTAGCGAGGGACTCGCCTCTCCTCCAATCAGCGCTGCACCTGTGGCATGTTAAAAGTCGAGGGGCTGGAAGACAGTCTGCTGCTCTCCCTCTAGTGTCTGATTGTAGGGTTCTGGATGTAGCCATGCCATGAGACATGTTAAACACAATTGCCTTTTACAAATTGGATGGGATAACAAAAACATGTTTACATTTTAATACATAAATATTTCTGAAAAATCTGGGCAATCTCCTATCAGTGTGGATCTGTGGTTAGGACTTTAGACTCCTTACTGAATAAAAGCATCGGATGTATAATATTAATAATGTTTGCCAGATTCTGCTAAGGCAAGTCCCAAGGCATGAGTTGTTTTTATTAAATCAGAAATGTGGATTGGTTGATAATTCAGTGGTCTGAATTACCCACTGTTACTGTAGTATTTTAAACATGAGATATGAGTTCAACTGAGAGGTCCTTAGAAAAAGACTCATGTTTTGTCCAGCAATGTGAAAATTCAGTACAGCGCATCTACCAAGACGTCAGTGCTGCATTAGCTATTTTTTCGTTAATGTATTAATATTAATGAATATTTAATATTCTCGTGTGTCGTGTTTAAATTGGCAGTATTTATTAAGAATTTATTGAAAAGGGCTCCATCCCAAAAAGGCTGATGTTAAAAGAAAAGAGCTGGAAGAAAAGGATTTCTTATTCTCGGTTTGGAGTATCAGTATGTATTCAGTTAGTCTTATTTGACAAACTTTTAGTTTAGATAATACATTTCAGCTTCTTTAGTAATAACAATAGTACAGTACCTACACATTTAAAAAAACATTTATTGCAAATCAAGTATGTCTACTAAGTGAAAGTATGGCTATAGAAATTAATAGAAATAATGAATTAGTTATTTCTGTTCTGAGATCCAATAGGTGTTTTTCCTGGAAACCACAGAAGTGACAATTGCAGTATTGATAGACCAGTCCAGGCCTTTTTATTGGGCAATTGGACTAATTTCTTTTAACAAAATCACACACCTTTTTCTCTGTGCACCATTGCCACTTGCATTTCTGCTGTATTGAGTTATATTCTCGAGCACCTCTTACCATTGTACAAGTCTTTAAATGATAGTCAGTCCTCTATGTGTAATGTCTGCAATTTGAAAACCCCCCATTCTTAGAGTTTTTAATATTTTTAAGGTTCAAATATTTTGAAATCTCTGCAGTTATGACTTTAAAAATGCTAGGTGGTCTCAATTCATTGGGCATTTTCAGCTAGTGAACCCTGTTTTTTTGTCAAGCAATCCTACTAACATTACCTTAGGCTGAGAGTTGCCATCTTATTAAAATCCTTTGGTTGCTCATACTACATGAACCTAAATTTTAAAGTACCTGGCAAAAAGGTCTCCGTGCAAGATTGCATTTACTCAGATTTTATTGTACATTTCACTAAGAAGCAGTTGCAGATTAGATAGTTCATCAAAGTGATTTGTAATACGGAAAGAATGAATTTATGCTAAACATTTCTGAAGCCATAGTGGTATTGTGACTCAAATTCAAGTGAGCTCTGGGATTATGCTCTGGTGGGGCAGTTGGTGCAGACTGTGATTATTTTTCCATCAGTTTGTCCCAGTAGTGCCTTTTTAAAGTTACTTTAAGACAGAGCAGTGGCTTAAACCTATGCAACCTAAAATCTCACTTATTTTTATAGCTTTATTGACCCCCCCCCAACACACACGCATAAAAAGAACAGTGTTTTTTTTTTTAAAAAGTGAACTGTGTTCCTTGTCAGTGATTCATGGAAAAAAAAATCAAACACACAGATCAATTCAGTGCGGCGGGGCTGGGTCTGTTTAGCAGGTTTCCTGTGTAAATGTAGCCTTGATGATGTGAAGGGCAGCGAGCTGGGGGATCTGCACAACAGCACCCATTGAATTGCATGTGAGCACAAACCTGGTATTGTCCACTTGAGAAAGACCTGACTGTGTGAGAAAGTGGAGGTGTAAATGGCAGGAGGACAGCCAGCCCCCCTTAATAACTCCCACAGCTGCTCTGCTACTGGACAAACCCCATTGTGCAGAGGTGAGTTTCTAGGGTGACAGAAGGGCCCTCGAGTTATAGTGTAGCAAACTCCTGGTAGACAAAGAGACAGCAGTGCGATCCAGCCAGGATTATATTAATCCTACATTATATTATCTTACTACAATATGTGTCACATATTTCACATATTTCACATAAAGCTTTTTTTTCTACACCTTTCCCTGTCTTGAACTGATGACATAAACTTTGATGAATACTGTTTTGAAATTAAGAATCCCTGCCAAAATACAGTAGTGTACAGTTTGGATTCTCTTTCCTCCTTTCCTCCTTCTCTTCCAAGGCATGGCTGTTGGGGGCTTATTCTCAACATTCTCAGCAACTAAGGTTTTGGTTCCTGCAGAAATTGTGCCTGCTAATGTCCTGACTTTGTAAGGTCAGTGTTTGCAAAGCTGTTAACAGGTTTTTTTTTAAAATGACTGTACATCCTTAACCTTTCCAGAGATTACCGCTAAGATGTATAGATCGTCATGGGAAATTACTATTGAGTCTGGTTTTAAGTCCAGGTTTTCTTCTCTTTGGTTTTTGTCTAGCAGCTGTGAGACTCTTGGGTCTCTGAAGTGTAGCTGTTGGACTGAGGATTTGGAGGGTGTAATTGAGGGTGGGCTAGATTAAGTAAGACTGCGGAACAGAGAAAGTGCTCTTGTGGCGCTCACCGTTTTAAAATGAGCAGCCTTAACAATAAAGATAATTTAATGTGATAGACTACCAAGCATGGATGTGGTCAAACACAGTTATAAGAAAAATATCTAACTTCAGATATCATTTAAATGCAGTATCTCTAAATGTCATTGTGGGAATCACGTAAAATAAAAACATGGACAGGGTGATCTTCAGGTGTTGTTACTGGAATTTAATTGTTGAAGATCGAAGATACACACCTATCTGCCATCAGATGTGGGAAAGATAAATGAAAGTGGATTTTCTTTTTCTCTTAAAGCTAGTTTTGGAATCTTAGCTGGAATTAATGGAAAGGGGTTCTTAAAAGTGCAGCCAAAAGCTCTGGAAGTCATCCTGCACATTTAAGCCCTCATAAAACGTCAAGTTAAGAATAAGATCCCACATAGCCACGTAAGAAGTCCCAGTTCAAATGCAAACATTACAAAGCTGGGCTTTTAAGGTTAAAGTAGCTATAACGCTAACCCTAGCTCCGTCCTATGACTGGTCCAGATCCAAATACTATGTCAACCTTTAAGTTAATTGGGCTCCAAAACTGAATGCAACTCATGTCGCCTAAACATCATCAAGAGTACGTTTGCTTCATTAAGGTCACTTGCTTTCTTGCATTACACGTCAATTCTGTATTGAAATTCAGGGCAGTTTTGAGATTGCATTAAAACAAGGGTTGAGCCTTTGATAGGCCTAGACTTGGAAATCCACCAAGCATTCAGGTTAATTCACATTCTGACAGGGTATGAAATGTAGAAATTAACAGAATGTAAGGTTTGTCCTGGGTTTTTCCCT